TAGTTTATTATATAAACTAAGGCTATTGGATATGGATTGTCAACATATAAAGGATTTCTAGAGGGCAGCAAAGCATTAAAATTTTCTATCTCTTTCATGTTATCTCACGGTCATTTAGACTTTTTACATCCCAGCTTTAGTTATCCCTAAAACAAACCTTCTTTAGTGATGTATAAATCTAGTCAATAATCTTGCTTGTTTAACCTATTAAGTCGTTTAAAGGAATAGCATATTGATAAAACCCTGAGTACAACATCTTGACTATACTTTGTACCCAATGTTTGTTTTGGATAATATATAACCCCAAACTTAAGTTCCTTATTTTTTACAGGCTTGGAAATGAACATTCCTTAGATCCGTGGTTTTATTTTAATTGAAAAATGTCCTACACAAGAACAAAAACGAAGAGGATTTTTGCTCCTTTTTTTTTTTGCCCACCAGTAAATTTCAGTCACTTGTTGCTTCTGCAAATGTATGTATAATCTGGACCCTTTTAGTCGGAGTTGACTTCTTGCAACTGACTGGACAAGTCCCTGCAATTTTCTTCAAAGCGGTTTGCCACTGCGTCTTCCTTAGGGCTAGTAGACAGAGAGGGCTCAAGGTCATCCAGTTAATTTTAGGCTTAAAACAGAACTAGAATTCTAGCCTGATGCCTTAACTACTACATTAAACTGACTTGCAAATATATGCAGCAGGATTTATGTAATCACATGATTATCTTTGAATGCATTCTCCATGCTATAAGTATTCAATATTTATGTACTTTTCTTAATATTTGGGTAATTGAGTTGCTGATTAATAAAAGTTTGCAGAAACTGCCTATGTGAATTTATCTGCAGTCAGGTAGAAACTTTTTTGACATGAGATTTTATTACTAATGCAGGCAAAAAGAAAAAAGAAAACTAAGCACAGGAGGACATCCTGTAACCACTGTAACTTGGCTACCATTGAACACGGTTGCTCTCCAACATATCAGAATTGCCCAAGTATTTTAATCCTGGTTTCTACCAGTTCAGACTTCATGTGTCATGCAAAAGCATGTCTTTTTTTCATGTCTTTTCTCATTTTGACCATTATTAGTTTACTAATATTTTATGGGCTGGTAAAATGGATTTATTTGAGAATGATTCTGCCTAGTAAAGGTGAAGTGCTGTGAGATAGCTTGTGGATTAGTGGTTTTCATTTTTTGGTTTGCTTTAATTCTCTTTCATATAAATCGTGATTTATCAATGCCATCAACCCTTAATGAATGCATTGATAGACTTTATCCAGGATGAATAAATAATACATAATGACTTAATATTATATGCACAGATAATGTGATTCAGAGCTTATCTAACATCCCAGATGTAAGCTTTGAAGTTATACCGAATTTTGTTGTGGTTATAAAACAGAAAACGAGATAGGGATGGGATAGAGAACGTTTGGAATAATTGGGCAGAAGAGAATCAAGAATGGCCTCCTCAAAGCTCAGCTGTAGATTCTATTTTAAATGCCATCATTGCATCCTTTACTGACATGCTTTGAATGGAGGGAGCGACTTGCCATCTGGAATTCTTATAAAGTCTGAACTACTATTACTATTAATCTTCTCATCACTCCTTATCACCCATCCCACTTGTGACTGTATGACTGTAACTTTGTCGCTTGTATCCTTATGATTTATATTGACTGTTTCCTAGTATGATTTGATTGTTGATTGTACCCTATGACTATTATTAAGTGTTGTACCTTATGATTCTTGACTCTTGACAAATGTATCTTTTCTTTTATGTACACTGAGAGCATTTGCACCAAGACAAATTCCTTGTGTGTCCAATCACACTTGGCCAATAAAGAATTCTATTCTATAAAGAATTCTATTCTTAGGCAACCACTAAGTTTACAGATGTTTTCCATCGCGGGTCCTCTGGCATCCCAATATAATATAATAGCTGGGTCTAACTGGACTGTCATAATTATAATCTCTTTCAATCAGAGCTAACACTGCTATTCAACAGTGAAATAGATGCTTCAGGCAGCAGGTTCTGGAAGCACAGTAGAATAGCATTATATGCACCACATGGTCTGCCTTGCTGCCGCTAAACTGATGCTGTGGGAAATTTAGTCCTGTTGTCAATGTAAAAATAATATTCAGCAGTTAGCCAGATAGCCTCCAGAGTACAGAGTCTGGAGAATAGACTTTGGCCTTAGGCAGCTACAATTTTGGAGCCATCACAGGAACTTAAATGGAAGCGAGAGTCTTGATGGCTCTTCATGAAGGAAATGCTCATCTCCCAGTATGGCTCATCAGCAGAGTTGGGGACCAGCAGAAAACACTTCATCCATGGACTCCAAACCCAAACAGCCTTGTTACGGGAACTGCCCTTCTCAAGTCACAGGGCATCTGTTTGTAAGATGCTGCTGTGATCCCAGCTATTTTCTTTTGAGGAATTAATTTGCAGGAATGGATATGGCAAACTTGACATTGTGTATTCAAGATGATGCTGATGGGAGGATTGGTCATATTGGCCATTAAGACAACTTGGTTAACACATTGTGCTAAGCTATGGTTTGCTGAATAATTATTCTGGCTTGCACAATGTACTCAGGTGTCAATCAAATAATACAAATCATAATTAGATTGGAAATCATATATACTTGATTTGGTTTGGGATTAGGGTGAACCCAGACCATTGTGACCACATTAAGAAATTAAACTTAAGATAATTATGCTTCATAGTGTCTTTATGCTAACCTATCTTCCACAGATACACTGAAGAATGACTATGGTTAATGATAAGGAGGTTTCAGAAACAAAACCTGGTGTTTCACAAGGTTAAGGTAGTTGTTAGTAAATTATATTGGAAGTTTCATTAAGACTTTTTTTATTCTGACTCAATACTAAGCCAGAATATGAATTTTTGGTTCACTGCTTAATAGCTATAGATACTATGAGCATCTGCCATGAGCAGATAATATCATGTTATAATATAAAATCATCAATTATAAAATAACACAGCAGATAATGAATATCTTCTAATGTTTTTATGTTGTAGGCCACCCAAACTCATTGGATAGAAGGGAGGCAAATAAATTTCATAAATAATTGCAAATGATACAAATTACACAATCTGTATTAGCAGGATTTTGCAGGAGCCAATCTGGGTCGTCATCAGGACCAGAGGTTTAGTCTTCCGAGCTTTTGAACTCATGCCAGAACCATCCTCAGAGCTCCAGCACCAGTCCAACAGCTCAGAGGACTAAATCTCTGGTCCCAGAATGGATCCTGCAACATTATCCTGGAAATGTATTTTTGCCTTCATTTGCAAAATTAGATGCATGCAAGATCATTATGGCTTGTACTAGGCAAGCTATCTAAGCCTAGCACATATTATATTTATGGCATATAATTTTTAATTTTAGTCTAGCTAAAATGTATTTGCCTAGTTGCCTGCTTCATAATTATATTTGATCTATTTTTATTTCAAACAAATTATTGTTTTGTTATTGAATGTCTACTTAATATTGCCTCTTTGATTTTTGTTAGCTAGTTTGGACATCTTCATCTAGGAGGAAAAAGAGTTATATGTAATATAATAATTATATATAATATGTAATACTTGAAATCATTATCAACCATAGTTGGTTTTGGTTCTATGCATCTCCTGAGCTGTCTTGAGCAGATATCTCTTTTTGGGGACCAGATATTATCATTGATTCTTGATTAAGTCCTTCCATAGTTCAGGGGGAGGAAAGTAGTTTGTGGGAAAGGGTCTCGGATTGTGTCAAGATGTGGACAAGGCAATTTTTAAATTGTTTTTTCCTGTGCCAAAGCTATTTTCACTTTGAAAATTTCTCCAGCTACTATATATTCCAACAGGTTCATTTTATATAATGCCCTAAATCAGAATTTGTGATTTCAAATATGTCATGACTTAATGTAATGGCCTTGCTTCACACATGCTTAATTAGGCAATGCTACTTCCCACAAATTAAGGTGAATTATAAGATTCATTTTAGTCTAAACGATTATAAGGCAACCTCTCCAAGGTGCCATGTTCCAGTGTGTCAGACTGCATCTCCCATGGTTCCCAATCATTATGGCTGCTTGTCATACTACTTTTAGAACTATGAGAGCTATTTTCCTACCTACCTGTAGAGAATTTAGGAACAATGGGATTGCTTGTGAGCAAATATCTGTACATTTTTTCCTGAGAAGCAAGTATCTCCTTTGTGGGTAGAAAAATGTTAAAATTAGGAAACTGCCCAGGGAAATTCTTTAGAAAACTTTGTCTACTAATTTAACGGGCAACCTTGTTGATTTAAAAAACAAACCCAGTGCAATAGGAGAAAAGGTGTCCTCACTTCTATGCATCTGCCCCATGAAGTGTGTGTAATACAGGGAGAGAGTCTTTGGCCTCGTTTCAGAAGAACATTATTCTATAGGATGTGTAAAACCGATCCTGGAGCTGAGCTCGATCCCGGTGATTAGAAGGCCCGATTCTTAAACGGATACACCAATTTTCTCTTGGCAGCTTTAGGTTAGGTCGCCTGCGGTGTCTCGGGTTTATTCCCAGTGACATACAAGACATTTGATCCTGATGGCAGCTGCTCGCTGAGCATATAAACTGTTTTAATTGAAAAATGCATTCGAATTACATAAAACAAAGGTGTCCTTGTACATGTGGAATTCTTTATATTTTAGAAACATTAATTTGCTATTCGTTTGAGAGAACCTGGCGTTCCTTAAATCATGGCTTGATTTTTCCAATCATCAAATGAAAAGTGGGTCTGTAGGTGTGAATAGGACTAATGCAGGGTCGCTCTTCTAGGCACACGTTCATATTTAACGCCCGGCACAATCGTGGCGAGACGTGGCGTGGCGCTTGCACAGGCGCGCGCGCGACTTCACCACGCGGGGCCGCAGAGCATTTGGAGATAGAGGTTGAGAGGGGCGGCCGTGCTTTGCCTGGCCCCGCCCCGGCCATCCCTCTACCCTGGCGGCGGCATCAGCGGCGGCAGCGTCTCCTCGATCGTTCCCTGCGTCTGACCCTCCTTCCTTCGCCGGCAAGGCAGAGCAAATCGAAGCGAGGCAAGGCACGCTGACGCCTGAGCTGGAGCAGGAGCGCTCGGTGGCTGGAGACGCACAAGGCAGAGGGCACCACTGGGGCAGCAGCTGAGTACTCCTGCCGGGCCGGGCCGGTGCGGCTGCTGGGAGCCCCGGGGGGGGATGGCGGACGGGACTTCATGTGTCCTTCCTTCGGGCTCGCCCCGGCCCGGGGCCCCCAGTGTCCTGCCGCAAGAAGAAGGTGCTGCGGCCGCTATAGAAGCTCCGGATGACCTGAGCTCGCCACGTTCAGTTTCGGGCAGCTCGGCGGGTACCAGCCGCGACAACTCGGCCGAGAGGGACCCCTTAGTCCTGGCCAAGGCTGCCCCTGCCGCTGGCATTATGAAGGTGGGTCCCGATTGCTTGCGCGTCCTCCCGCCCGGCGACCTTTCTAGTGAGCCTAGAAAGGTTCCTTCAGCATTTGTGCAACGTCTCTTCCCTTTATAAACAGGAATCCCACAGGGATTTCCCCCCACTCCAATCCACAAGGGCAGCCTACTTAAACTTAAGCTAACCTCCTCCAGCCCGCAACCTGAATATCGTGGTTCTGTCCTCATCTGACCTTCTAAATCAACAGAGGACCTAACCGATCCAGAGATTCCTAACCGATCTGTTCTTCCTTCCATGCAGCAGCGCCCCTTCTTCTGAATGTCCTCTACTTAACTTCCTTCCATTTATAAAACAACAGGTTCTGAGCCTCTTGCTATGAGTAAGTGTGTGTGTGTTTGGGGGGGGGGTGTCTTTGGCTTTTGACTTTGTTTGCTAAAGACAGAGGAAAACTCACTGCATGTCTGCAAAGGTGCTCTGGTCATCATTCTTGTCTGATATTCTGAAGATTGGTGTGTATATGAATGGTGTGTGACCAAGAAAGAAATTTGGGATTCAACCCTACTTCTGATTAATACAATCTCTGCGAAATCTCCTGGCTATTCTTTGAGCTAGCTATGCTCAACCCAATCTGAACATTCACATTGGCTGAGTTCATATGATACACATAACCAGGTCAGTTGCAATTTAGGCACTACATTTCCACACAATACTATGCTTGTTTAATTCAATCCCCCCCCCCCCCCGGTTTTAATGTATAAATCTAGTCCATTTGGTTAATTCAAAGTCATGTGTATGAACCAAAACCCGAAAATGGGAAAATTCAGTAAACAGGTTATGTTGGGTAAACCGAACCTCTTTGTTCCCTGAGGTGGGATTGCTGATTTTATCACCCTCTCCTGCAGAAAACTGCTTTGAATTCCTCATAATTTTTCTTTCTCCCTCCTCAGCTCATCCAGGATGTTTGTTTGGAAAGTCATTTCATCCTGCTGCTTTGAAGTTCTAGCAGAGATGCATTTGAAAGTCTGGTTCCTATATATATATATAAACGTTGTTTGATTTTTCTGTGTTAATTCAATGGTTATGGGTGAGAGGGAAACTAATTTGAACCTCTGAGCCCACCACAAAAAAACAAATGCATTTGAACTGGTATGCATATTGTGACTGTCATTAATACTGGTTGTAGATCCGCATGCAGTAGTACTCTGCTATTGTAACAATCAAGTGATGAAATGAGCATGCCTTAAACCAAAAGGTGTTCAAGTGGAAGATTTACTTCACTTTTTTGATAACCTTCTGTAATTATTGGTATTAGTGCTGCCTTGCAGCATTATCTTATGTGGGAATCCCATGCTGGATCCATGTATACAAATAGTCTCCAACTTATGACCACAATTGGAACTGGAATTTCCATCATAAGTTCTTGCAACCATAAGTCAAGTTGGACCCAATTTTACAACAATTTTTACAGCTGCTGTTAAATGGCTGTTAAGCAAATCACATAGTTGTTAAGTGGATTCATCATTTCCAGTCGACATTTTTTTTGCCAGAAATAAGCAAAAAAGGTTACAAATCAGTCAGATGATTGCAGGATGTTGCAACTGGTTATTAAATACAAGCTGATTTCTTGGTGCTTGAATTGTAATCACATGAGTGCAGGGATGGTGTGATAGTTATAACTGAGTACAGATTTTAACTTCTTTTTCCATAGCTGTTGTAATGTTAAACCACCATTGAATGAACAGTTGTAAGTTGAGGACTACCTGTACATAGCTGTCCATATGGGAATTGGTGCATGCAATCCCTGTCATTTTTTACAGCTTTGAACTTGCATAATTAGTGGGGAGTCTTTTTCATATGTTAGTATTTTTGCAAGTTCATGAAAAGACACATGGCAATTGGCAGTTACCAAATACCTGAATTATTTCCAATGACAAGAAGCACGTTAAAGTCAAGTTTTGCTGATATCTGTGACTTTTTAATGTGAGGTAGGTAGGTGCATATGATGTAAAGAACATAAAGCTATGAATTGATCCACTTAACAATTAGTTCATTTCCATAGCTAACGTGATATTTCCAATCTATGTTTGTAAGGAATTAAGGATGATAATTATTCTACTTTAACAAACCTGGTATATTATTTCATATCATATTCTTTAATATTGTTTCTCATACTAAGGTGTTAGCATGTTACTAGATCCCTGAACCATATTCATTAGAAAGAGGATTACAGATCACATGCCTCAAGTCACCTAAAAGATAATTCAACTGAAAGCCGTGAAGGCCAGCTTCTGCAGCAAAAGTGAGCTCCACACTGCTCCACAACGTGTGAATCAAGTCAACTATCACGGGTGTCTTAAGGCAGTGTTCCCCCCCCACGCCCCAGTTTTCCAGCAAAGCTTTTTACATAGCCTTGATCCATTCAACTAGAAGAGCTAATGTGTGAGTTGAACCACCATTCCTTCAAACGATCAGTTGATCAGCAACAAAGGTGCTAGCCTAGCAGATTACAGGAGATACCTTCTGCAAATTAGCCAAAGCTTTATAGGAAGACAAAAAATGTTTTCTGTCCTTGAGCCCCCCCCCCCTTCTCTCTGTGAAGTGGTCTCAGGTTCCCTTGGGCTATTTATGTCTTGTTTACTCAAACTGAAGGAATCAAGGCCATTTCATTTGGTGGAGCCAAGGAAACAGAGGGAGAAGGTCCCAAGTTTGAGTTTAATTTCATCTTTATGAGTTGGTGGGAGTTTGTAATCTTGTGGGCCTCAGTTCTGGGAAAAATTTCTTCCAAGAAGTTCTGCTGGTTTTATCCTGTGATAGACAAGCCTGGAAGAGAAGCTTTGTCAATGTTATTTGCCATGTTTGGGGCATTAGTGCACCTTTACAACTTGACATGTTATTTGTTGGTTTCATTCAGTGCAATGAATAATTTTCATGACTGCAGGCTTCCTAAGACTATTTAAGGTAGAAACCTATATCTCTAATGAACAACACCTTAAATCAATTTAAATGCCATATTTTCAACAAAAGAGCCGATTGAAAGAAGCCAGATCCATGACAATAAAAGCAGCTTGAATTACGTACCAAAAATGAGTACAGTACATATTTAAAAAATCCTTTAATAAACTAAAAGAAAACTGTTAATCTTTAAAGCATTATTAAAAGTAAAGCCACTGCAGAGTACAGAGAGTAAAAGTTACTTTAAATCCTAATCAGTCACATTATACGTTTGATGAAGGGAATTGCAACTCACAAACTCTTAAATTAAAAAAGTGCTTCCTCCCAACGTTTTACTATTATGAATTAACCAGACTCTCTTACTCTCTTATGCCTACCCTAAGTTAGCATTATCTCTGGAACTAACATTTACATGCCTTCATTTTTGAAAGAGATATTTTGGAGTACAGCTTCCACGGGCCTTTGCTGTTGGCTATGGTGGTTGAGGTTAATGGGAGCTAAAGACCAAACATCTGGAGAGTGCCAGATTGCCTTTGATTGGAAGCTCCTAAGGTATTGCTGAGTGCATGAAGAGAATCTGTTCATGTTTAAGCAAAGGGGCCTGCACTCGGATGATAACTGTATTTGGCCCTGATTGGAAACACAATTGGAAGATATCGTAGCCACGATTTCCATTTCTCCCAATGGATTTCTCAAGAC